TCTCTTCTTTAAGATTGTCTTTTCTGGCAATCTTTTGCTTACAAGGTTTGCAAAGTTTCTTTCGAGGAGCAATATTCAAACTACTTCTCATCATGACTTGTGACTCATTTATTGTAACTACTCTAAGATTTTCTAAAAGTAATTGAATTGTATAAAGCACAATTGTTTAAAACATTGTTTATGTTTTGGAAAATATAAATTAAAAAAGTATAAAATAAAATATTTAAATTTTACATCTACTTACTTGTGATTTTCTTTGTATGTTTATTGAATGAATCACAGCATGCTTTTTGCCATATAGGATACATTTTCAAATATTTTGTAGTATGTCTTTTAAATTATATTTTTAAGTTTGATAGTTCAATGTTACAACGTAATTATATAGTAATTTTTTCTTCATTGCTTAAAGTTTCAATAATATCTTGTTGGCCTTTGCATGCATCTGATGTCATTGAGCCAATAGAAAACACCTTAAGATAAATTACTTAGTATGAATGTATTTCCCTAAAAAAGAGAGAATTCTTCTTTCCTACTTAATTTTCAGTAAAAAAAAAAAGTTTTTAATATAGAAATAATTCAAACCTTTTCAGAATCCTTCTGTTGTATAATTTTTTGCACTGATATATATTGTTAATTTTCTTTATATATATATATATATATATATATATATATATATATATATATATATATATATATATATATATATATATATATATATATATATATATATATATATATATATATATATATATATATATATATATATATATATATATATATATATATATATATATATATATATATACAATCTATATATATCAAATTTATTTAAATTTAAATAAAATTTTACTAATAAGTGTTGTTTTATAACTGAACTTTTTATAAACTTTTACAAACTATAGTTATAATTTTAAAAACAAATGCCCTTCAATATCACACTTAGTTTTTATATAAAAATAAAACAGTATGTTTTTTTCAGCTGTTAAGATCAAATAACTAAGTTATCATATAATTAAGACTTCCTTAAATATAACAAAATTGTTTTGTTTTTTTCTTCTAAGGTGTCTATAAACTAAATTTAATATTTTAAAAAAATTTATTGAAAATTTGATATATCTTTAAATTAAAGTTCCATATGTTTCAGTTGTTTTTCCAGTTAGATTTTTTGTGCCTAGTAAAATTATAAGCAACTGAAAATATTAACAGCAAAAAAAAAAAAAATTGACGGGGGTGTTTTGAGATATTGGGCCCCAAATTTGATTTATAGAAACTATTTGTTTTATTAACTTTTAAGCATGTTCCTTTAATATTTCAGTATTTATATTCATTTATTGAATTTAGCATCAAAAAAACATTATATATGTTTATTTTCATAATTTTACCTTTTTTTTTCTTATTTTTTTAAGAAAAATGTTTTTTCAGAATGTTATGAAAACCAGGTCGTTTTGGGAAACCAGGTCAATATTAAAGTTGCAGTATCTTTTCAACCACTCAACATTTTTGCTGAAATTTTATGCGTTAACTTTCCTTTAAAACATGTAACAGCCAAAGAAGTTTTAAAAAAAATTTGAGGACCCATGATTCAAAATTTCCTAAATTTTGGGTGATTTGATGTAGAATTACCCATTATGGTTTATAAGTTGAAAATCAACAACCTTCAAAATCTCACAAGTTTCAAGGTACTTTCCAATAAAATCTGAATAGCATCTAGAACCAAATTTTGGTCTATCCAACTCCTCAAAGAAATGGCATAATGGAAGCTCATTTTCATGTAACAAACAAATTAACCATTGTCAAGGCCATTGAAGTTTTAAATCAATCTAATAATGCCACCCTTGTTTCTAGTTTTTACATTGGTTCCATCACTGCCCAGATCTTCTAAATTATGCAAAATGATATTATGTTCTTTAGAATAGAAAAATGTGCACCTCCATCACTATGGTTCTGTTATTATTGTCAAGTTGGAGTGCACTAACTTTAAGATTATCTTTTTACTTCGAACATTCTGTAGTTTTGCTGTAATTTCTTTGTCTACTGATGCAATAGCCATTTTAAAATCATACCCTTGAACTTTCATGGAAAAGAAACATACATAGTTTTAACAGTTTTATTATATAGAAAACATAAAAAGCATGAATAATTTTATACATATAATATTTAATAAACAGGTTTTTTTTCAGAAAATGTTGTATAGGCCAAGTTCAAACAAAAGTTAGTCCAACAATAGTAAATAACTTGAAGTTTTTGTAGATCACACATTCTTTAGTAATAATACTTATGGATAATAAGTTAATATTATCTATAATACTTATGGATAATACAATATGTTATCACTTCGAAGCTTTTAAAAAAATATTAAAATTAATGTAAAGTTTGTGCTACCATGAATATGTAATTATGATGACAAGTAAAATATATTATATAATAATATGAAAAAATATATATATATAATAAATAATAATAGTTAAAATAATAATAATAATAATATATATATATATATATATATATATATATATATATATATATATATATATATATATATATGTATATATATATATATATCGTTTAAAAGATAAAAGTTTAATCAAGTTAATGTTAAGAACATAATAAATAAAAAATAAAAATACAAATTTAATATTTAAAGTATACTCTTTTGGTTCGATAACAAGGAAGAACTTGTCTCTGCATTGATTCCACCACTTTTAACTAATACTTGTTGAGAAGTTGCCTCAAATGCTCTGTTGATTGAATTCAATGGTTTACCGATTGAGTGTCGATCCATGACCAAATATTTTCTATTGGGTTGATATCTGGTGATCTAGGACACCAAGACAATAAATTCTTCTTCTTTGTGTTAAACCAGTGTGTTATGCTGTGTGCTGTTTGTGCTCGAGCCCCATCTTGCTGAAAAGTGTATTGCTTATTTTTGTATGTATATTAGTTGTTTTGTAGGTATAGTAGTGTAATAGTTGGCTATTATACAGCTCAATAATACTAAAGCCTTTAATGGAAAAACATCCCTAAATACCTAGTGAGCCTCCATCGCCTTTTCATCTTGTTTGTAATTATTGCAAGCGATATTTTTCAGCTGCAAATCTTTTAACGTATATTCTTCCTTTGCGGTTCATAACCTGAAAATTTGACTCACTTTTGCTTTATCTTCAACTGCCCAATGCAAATGTTCTTTGCTCCATTTTTGTCTTTTGTGGCAAGATTCTTTGATTGTTTGCAAACCTATACTTCTATTATATATATATATATATATATATATATATATATATATATATATATATATATATATATATATATATATATATATATATATATATATATATACATATATATATATATATATATATATATATATATATATATATATATATATATATATATATATATATATATATATATATATATATATATATATATATATATAAACACTTACTAAAGCGTGTTTTGATAAGCATTACTCACTTTTTCTGCTTACCTTAGGCTATACCGTTTTTTTTGAAAAAAAAGAAAAATTGAAGAATGATGAATAAAACGATTGCTTCCCCATCCCAAACCCTCAGTCGATGTAGCAGCACTCCACTGCGAGTCAGGCTATTTGTCAGTCGATGTATGTACTGAAGCCCCCAGCAGCAGGCTATTTCAGTATGACGTCAGATTGCTTACCATAGTACGCAATACTATTTGTGTATATATATGTATGTATATTAAGTAATAAACTAATTTATATTAATTTTTCTGTTTATATTTAAAATTTATTGAAAAAATAAGATTTTGTTTTTAATCTAATCGATTTCTCCTTAATTCTCCTTATTTTTTCATTCAAAAAATTGTCGTTTGCAACCAAATCTAATTAATTATTAGGAAAATATCTCCTTAAAATCTTTATTTTTAGCAATGAAGTTTTAGTAATGGGAACCTTGTATATATATATATATATATATATATATATATATATATATATATATATATATATATATATATATATATATATATATATATATATATATATATATATATATATATATAAATGAATAAAATTAACTATTGATGGAACTCTGAGTTCCATGCCTATCGGCAATCATCAGCCATTATGTATTTTGTCATTTAAAAACCGTTTAAAAATTACAAATTAAAATATGGTGGAATGAGTTCTGACGTTGCTAAAACAAAACAAAACAAAACAATAGGTCCCCGGTATCAAATAAGGATAGTAAAATTTCTTTGATATTGTTTCATCTTTTATTAAGTTTTTTCCTTTATGATAATATATGAAATTTCTCACGGAGACAAAGATTACAAACTTTTGATGCTTGATTGTAGGGCTTACATCGTTCTATTATCTTTCATGTAATCACAGGATTTATATTTTTCGAATTTAGCTTCCATATTTCTTTGGAAAGTTCAGTGTCATTTTTATATTTGGGTGTATTGAAAGATTTAAGATGGTTGGCATATCTTAATTTAAGTTTAATATATATATATATATATATATATATATATATATATATATATATATATATATATATATATATATATATATATATATATATATATATATATATATATATATGATATATATATATATATATATATATATATATATATATATATATATATATATATATATATATATATATATATATATATATATATATGTATGTATGTATATATATATATATATATATATATATATATATATATATATATATATGTATGTATATATATATATATATATATATATATATATATATATATATATATATATATATATATATATATATATATATATATATATATATATATATATATATATATACATGTATTTGTGTTTATGTGTGTGTATATATAAATTTTTAACTAGTCTTTTTTTTAACTAAAGCTTTAGATCAATTTTTTTTTAATCATCATTACAACTACTTTAAACTTGTTTCTTAAATAGATAGTTAAAATAGTAATACCGCAAGTATTATATGAACCTTATTATTTAGAGTTATAAAAGAAATGAGTGAGCCACCATCATTTGATCCCTGTGAATGCATATTTAGCCCGGCAGCTGCTATGCAGCGTCTAATTTCATTATTGAGAAATTCACAAAGTTATTGTACTGATGAGCAATGCTTTGGGACTCCTCCAGGACCTGGTAGTAATGCTGATACAGGTGTTCATCTTATGTTGATGGCAATAGGTTGGGTAATTCTAGCTTTAGTTTTGTATTTATTGCGACCACAAAGTTTGCGAGATGCTCCAGAAAAGCCTGAACGATTGAATGATGACAATGGTAATCAACCCCCACCATCAATTATGTAAATACGAAAAAATAAGATGATCTTTTTTACCTTTTTATTGTGGTTTTTATTTGGTAATTATGTTTTAGGTGATCAGACTCTTTTATCTTTGGGAGGTATAGACTTTTAAAAAGAACAAATAATATTTATTTTGGACTTTATATAATTGTCAATATTTATCTTTTTGTTTATATTGAATTTTATGGAAGTTATAATAATTTTATAAACGTTTGAACTTTTCAAAAGATTTTAACGACAAATTAATTTTGTATAATTAATGATTTTGAAATTAAAATGAACATTTTTATTTGGTCATTAAAGTTTCGGTAAGTAATTCATCAAGTTGAAAACATTTTATCAAAAAGTTTTGTTAATTATAAAGTGCATCTCAAATAAATATCTTTTTGTGCATATTTTTGATTTATTATGTATTTATATAGCTTTCTATTGTTTGCACTTTTATTTTAGTTAGCAGGTGTATGTATGCATTATTTGTTTTATTATATGAGTTGTGGTCTTGCCAGGAATTTTTAGGGCAAATTATTTATACTCATAATTGCTTAAATAAGAGTTTCTCTTTTCTTTTTTTTTTTTAAAAAAAAAGCACAGGTTTCTTCAATGTGGTTAAATGATTGAAAACACCCTTGTTCAAAAATCGGGATAACTCAAATCCGGCAAGCTACCGATCAGTATCACTCACTTCAGTTATAAGCAAAGTAATGGGACGTATCTTAAAAGCTACTGGTTTGTTGAATTTAGAAAAAAAACAATCTATTGACTACTATTAGCATAAAAACTGATTTACAAACGTTTTAAAATCTATGGATTTAATAACGCAAGCAGCGGATGAAAAATTTTCTGTAGGTAACCTTTCCTCAAGGTGAGTTTCCACTCATCCGTTTTTTAACGGGAACGGGATAGGAAAGGGAAAAATAATCACGTGAGCATGCGTAGTTATCCTTCGGACATATTAAAACTTATACTACGCATGCCCACGGGATTATTTTTCCCGTCCCTGTCCCGTTCCCGTAAAAAAACGGATGAGTGGAAACACGCCTTCAGACATGTATAAAGCTTTTGATTCCGCGCCTCATAACAGATTGTGTCTTAAACTAAAAAGTTATGGTATCAATAACAAAGCACTAAAATGATGTAGAAAGTTTGTGTGTAACAGAGTCTGTAACGAGAAATTTTCAAATTGGACTTTAGTTATAAATGGTGCACTATGCGTCGCTCTAATACAAAATGATAAAATAGACATAAATTAAGAAGCATTTAATATATTGAACTAATTTTTTCACAAGGCATCCAATTTTTGTTTATATTTCTACATTAAAAAAAAAAATACTTGGTTTATTTATAAAAGATTTCTTGATCCATTGATCACCTCTGATCAATGGATCAAGAAATCTTAGGAAATGAATCAACTATCATTATTGATGGCATGGCCTTGGTCAATAAAGTTCATAAAGATAACGGTATTAAAACTTAAAAGTTATTTAATACTTATGTTATTTATTGTCTGTGGTAGTATTTTCATTCCATCACATCATGTGTATTGTTCACTGTAATAACTGTGTATGTATAATTGATAAGTTAACTGATTTAGGCTTATAATATTTAAAATATATTTACATAAATACCTTACATATATATATCTTATGCAACATAAATACTAATGTTTGTTTAATCATTCAGGATTTTGCTGCAATATTTATTAGCATACTTAGAAAAGTATCTCAAAATTGCAAAAAGGTAAGATTGGTTTTTGACAGATACATTGAACATTCATTCAAATCTAAAACAAGAAAAAAACGCACTTCTGGCAATGATATCAAATATAAAGTCACTGATGACTCTATAATTTGCAATAAGTTGCTAAAGCAGCAACTGGGGCACATTGAAACCAAGCAAGCTCTTACCGAATACCTTGCTGAATATACGAAAAATAACATGCAGTTCGCTTCATTATAACACGTTCAAAAACATCTATCTGCAAAAATGATGAATCATAATCACGAAGAGGCTGACACTCTGTTAATTCTGCATGCCATAGACGTTTCAAAAGAAAGCACATTAAAAAAATGTATTGTGCATTTACAAGATACTGACGTTTTTCTACTTTTAGTTCATTTTTATCAAGTTCTGCCACGTGTCACAATTATCCGCTTTTTAGGATTCACTAAAAAATCATGGTGGAAAGAATTTATAAAAGCTGACAATGGAATCATAGCTGCACTATCAAAGCTTGGTCAATCGGAAGCTTTACCTGATCTGTTTACAATAATTAACATTGAACGTTTTTTTTAGAGTCTACGGTGATAAAAAACGGACAGAAGATGTTAATATTCTTTTACAACTTCGTTGGTTCCTTTTCTCTAAATTTCAGTATGACACTAAACCACTTCCGCCAACAATGAATGTTCTTAAGTACCATATATTCCGTAGCCACTTTGTATGTTTAGTGCTTAAACTCTTTAACATGCCCGTACAGTATCTACCATTGCCTGTGGATTATGGTTGCGAACTAAACAATGGATCTTTTGACCCCATAATGACTGATACCTGCTGACTGATATCGAGTTGAGCGTCTGTCGTTGTAGAGGAGACTGTACTAATAAAAAGTGCAAATGTTTGAAAAATAAACTTATCTGTACTGATATATGTAAGTGTAAAGGATGTAAAAATGATAATGTACACGACCAAAAGAAAAACTATGACTATGAATGTAGAGATTCATAAGACGCAATTTAAATAATTTATTCGTACAAATAATTTATTCGTATTATTAAATACCAACTAATAAGCACGTTAATTTTAACCTATACTTCCAAAATTTAGAAGTTTTTGAGTTTAAGAATGAAATCTTAGAATATTTGAAGCTTTTCATTCAATAAATGTCTATAATTTCATTTATGTTACAAGGTTAATTGGCTTAATACTGTCATTTAAATATTTTCCGGGGGTCCTTTTTCTCTTCATTAAACATTGTGAATTTTAAATACTATTTTAATTTACATAGGATATTGTTTATATGTTTATACAATGCCAATATTTTGTTAGTAGTTTCTGTTGAATAATTTTCCCATATAATTCAACAGTGTCCATGTGTAATGTTGCCAAGCGTTGGTCCGGGAGATATCTCTGATATTCGTTATTACATTTAAATAAATATTAGATCGATTGAAGATGGATCTTCGGTGTTTTTATAACATGCCTAAAAATTTATGGATTGAATAAAATAACAATCATTAACAGTATTGATAAAATTTGATTCGTTTTCAAGACTGTTCGATTTGAATGGGTTACTTTCTACGTCCCATTTGATGTCAGCATAGTTAAAATCGCCTGCAATCATTACCCCATTAAAGTTTTTAGTCCAGAGGTAGCGGTCAATTTTATTGAAGGATTCATAAAATTTTTTGTATCTTATATTTGTTAGATAAGTTTTAAGGTTGTCATGTGCATCGAGAATTATTGGCCTGTATATACATTTAAGAAGTAGTATTAATATTTTAAAGTATTTATATTTTGTTTTACTTATTTTTTTATCTTAAATTCTTCTTTTTCGTTTTTCTTCAAGTATATATACTCTTAAAGAGAGTTTCTTACTTCGTTAACTTATTATCTTGTAAATATCTTATAAACACAAATATTTCTTATTCGACGAAAAGACCGTATGGTCTTCTACGAGTCCTGCGTATTTTTTTTTTTTTTATAACGATCAATATATATATATATATATATATATATATATATATATATATATATATATATATATATATATATATATATATATATATATATATATATATATATATATATATATATATATATATATATATATATATATATATGTATATATATATATATATATATATATATATATATATATATATATATATATATATATATATATATTTTAACTTTAATACATCTCATTATTGTTGTTTTTTTCATATGGTTTGTTACTGCTGGTGAAATCCTGCGATTGTTAAATGATTTTAAAATATTTTTTATCATCAGAAAAAAATTTTCATTGAGATGAGTGACGGATCCAGGATTTTTTGGTTTTTGAGATAGTTTACTTCCAGACATGGAGCAAACTCCAAACATTTGTATGTTTATACTTATGTCAAATAAAAGATGTCTCGCAAAAAATTGTGATGATTGGAGGCTGGAAACGAAAAAGCCCTTTAACTTCAACTAGACATATATTCATTGATACATTTTAAGTTTCGTAGTATTATCTCTCAGCGTTCAAAAATTATGACCATATAAAATTTGTAACCCCCTCAAATTGAGGGGTTTACAAATGAGAATTGTTTTGTCCTAATAAAAATTAGGACAAAACAACTCTCAAAATTTTCTACTCCTTTTAAATACGAATGAATATTGATGGCTAGATGTAGTCAAGGCCGGCGTGAAAAGTATGTGTGAGAGGAGGGTAGGACGGTGACATAGCCCCATTCAATAAATCAGTCGGTAAATCGGGACCTTTTCTTAGATATGTTCATTTGTCAAAATAGGACTTGGATATTTATCACGCGTCAGCAAATTGGGAAATAAGAGGCTTTTTTTTATGTAGGTTTCATAAAAGTTTCACATGGGTTTCAGTTTTATTTTTTTAAAATTTTTAGTATCATCCTCATCTATATCGCAAAATGCTATGAACGATTCAACTCCGCTTTATACATCTTATAACATTTTTACGATTATGGTCTATTTGCGCGTTGTTTTACATAATGAATAGTAAGAAAAATTTTCAATTTCATTTGCAATATTAAAGGTAAGTTTCTACATTTCATTTCTGCACAAAACTTATTTTGCTTTAAAAGTTCATTTTTACTGCGCTCGCAGTAAAAATTGGTTTTTTATTGCCAAAAACTGCCTACATTATTTTCCATACATATTTAACTTTCTATATATATTTAACTTGTTTCTAGTTTTCTTGTTTTTCACAAAATACGCTGAACTTTACTTACGTATTAAATGATAATGTAAGGAATGTAAACGCGTGCATATAGGAAGTAAATATACCAATTATATCTACACAATGTATGATCCAGTTCTAAGTTTGAACTAACAAAAACCAAAGTTGAGAAAGATTTAGAAATTGTAATTTCAAACAATTTGAAATGGTCTAGTGAAATTAATTTGTGTTTAGCGAAACGCTAGAAACAATAAAACATTCATTTTAAAGCTTAGATATAAACACGACTTAGCTATTGTACACTTGTCTTGCAAGACCAAAGTTTAATAGTTAATGGAGTTTTCTGCATAAATTATATAGTTCAGTTTATGAACGATAGTAAAAAAACTAGCTAAAAGTCCAATACTTTTAGTTATTGTCTTGGTAATTTAGCAATGCCAATTAAGAAGAAAACTTTGTAAATGTATTAGACACACACAAAGTTTTCTTCTACACAAAAATTTTTATTAAAGTTATAGACTTGATGATAAAAGTGCAATGGTTGGGGTTTGGTGATCAGAAAAAGCTTGTATTCTTCGAACCGCAGTCATGTAAATTATTGTTTTTATAAAAGACGATTGTAAACGCTTTTTCTTTTAATTAAAAAA